AGAAACAGAAAACTACAGGTAAAGAAAAAAACCACATACATAATTTATATATATATATATATAATCAAACATAATAACAAGGTACACTCTACTCAATGAGATGACAAGGTAACTTGACTTAGCATGTGGGTGAAGAAAAAAAAAAAGCTAATCAGCAAGCCAAAGAGAGGCTATCTTGAAATAACATGGAAGGAAGCATTTTGCATCACTTTTGAAAATAAATGGTGTCAATAAAAGTAAACATCTCAACCCAAAATAATAGTTTTTAAGTTTGTATTCATCAAATTTAGTTAATTGGTAATCACAGTTGCCAAAAATTTTTAGTGAATATTTTGATGGAAAACAAACAGTTTTATAAGCTGGAGCTCCAGTACACCTCAACATGGATTTGAAGTGTCTGCTTAAAAGAATGATTTTCATCTGTGAACCAGAGTTTCAGCTAAACAAGTACATGTAATTAGCTGGAAGAAACCAAAATGTAACTCCCAATCTGAGATCATGTCAAAAGATAGGATACAGTGATGGACTTTAAGGAAAAAAACTACAAATAACTTGATTTTATTTAATATGCCAGAGAGGTATCAGACATTTTTCTACTTTTCATTGGTTTGGTTTAGTGAACTTAACTCAACACTTTCATTCTTCTTAGAGTGACAGCTGGTTCATACTTATGCTAATGAAGAGGATGATAGCAAAGGCTGGTTCATACTTATGTTAATGAAGAGGATGATGGCAAAGGTGTAGTCTGGTTTGTTTTTGGAAGCTCCACTAATCTGTCTATGGTGAGTCCAATTGCAACAAGCACATTTACAACTGAAATGGTAAGAAATATCCACTCAACCACCTCAAGACCTGCAAAGGTTTTAACCTGTAAAAGGAAAGGATCTTCATTACTTTGCTGTGAGAGTCACCGAGGGACATGGAACAGTTTTAGCCAAATAGAGTATGAAGCTCATGAATACAGGGGGCAAGTTTCTAAAGAAACTGTGGTCCTGTGTCAGTGGGAGCATATAGCAGGGTAATTCAGTATTATCAACTGAGTTGAAAATGTTTACATTCTGATGGACCTTCACTCTAATGAAGGGCTAACGAACGAAACATTAGCTTTTAAACTCTTTATGGAGGCCAATTTACATTATCAACTCAGTTGATAATACCAAATTAGCCTAAGAAGGTCATAGTCTGGAGGTTTTCTAAAGGGAAACTTGTATTCATTGGACATAATTAAACAAACTAGAAAAGTCAACTTGATACAAGCTTTGGTTAAAAAAATGGCTTATTTCAGGTTTAACCACAGCCCCACATATCATTAGATAATTGTTACACACAAGTTTGTGTTACAATTATAATAACATAAATTTTTATATAAGAAGACAAATTGGAACTTCAGCTGGTGTATGCTTTCTACTAGTCTCACTGAACTTAAATTTTTGTTGCACGAGTTTGTATCGTGAAAAACCTGGCTACAGAAGGTTTGACAACCCAGAGACAACAGCATACGCATACACCCAACCATTTCCCACCCCCCCTCCCTCTCTCCAATCTCCCAGACTGTAATGCAAGCGCGCAGAAATACAAACAGATTTCTTTAGTAAAAGAGATAAAAGCAACCTTTCATTAAAAAAAAAAATAGGGCATGTCCTACCAAACGAAGAGGACGTAAAATTTGTATACAGCAAGCAACGTTATTTTAGGAAGATGTAGAGACACAAAGGTCAACAAACACTTTCCCAATAACAGCTGCTTTAAATTTTCGTACAAAACAAAAATTGTGTGCCAATTTGCGCTAATCTTTTGAAAAAGAGATTTTGACTAAGTTATTCTATAAAAACTGAAACAGTATTTACGCCTGAAACTGAAATTAACTGACATGTTGGTGAAATTAGTTCAGGCGTACTTAACTAAACATACTAAGCTGCGCGCGTAATGTTTCAAAATTGGAGTTTTCAAAGAAAACTAGAGAGCAACCACTTTAAAAATGGTTGCAATTGTCACAATTCATCCCTAATAGGAAACGGAAAAGAGAGACACGATATGTAAAAAAAATATGGAGCGAAAACATTATACGAAATATAAACTTCATGTCGACGAGAACACAAATTTTGACAAATTTGTCGAGCACTGTTTTAGGAAGTTGTCACCCAGGCAAAATATCTTTCATGAATTGAGAGAAACTCACTTTTCCAATGGCAGTTACGGTCGTTTTTTGACGAAGACTGTCTTCTGAATAGTCTGGGGTATCGTCTTGTTCCTCTTCTTCTTTGACAATGATATCTCGTGAACTTGCGGCCATGTTTGCACGTTAACTCCCAACCGCCTAACCGAGCAAATTAACTTTGCGTGACTGTCACGTGAGGCAAAAATGCTATGATGTCTCATGATGGATTCCTCCTCCCCTAAAAAATTAAAATCCTCGCGGTATTAAGGTGAGGATGAATTGAGAGAATTTATCCTCTAAATATGCCCCTATTCCGATTATTATTAATATTTTCTTAAATCTTATTTTAGCCAGCGTTCCTGCGAGCTGCAGCGCGGCTATTTTGGCAACAACAGCTGATTGGCTAGTTGGTTCCCCATTAAGATTTGGTCTGTGATGTTTGGCAGCCTGCCGTTTGCGCGGCTATTTTGGTGTTTATTGACGACATTTTGAATCCTTTTCCTCGCTTGCATGAAAGTAGATTCCAAACACTCCCTTTGTGTCCACGTGCGCCTCGATTTCCAGAGTTCACGCGGTGCCGCGTTCACTTCAGATTCGCGCGACGGATTCCGCTGGAAGACAGGAACAACACAGCGGTTTCTCGAGAAACTAATTGCGTGCTCTTGTTCACGTCGAAAATGAAAGAAGTTAAGAATATATATTCATTGCCAATACGTACTCAATATTAGTTAATGGAAGTCATTCAGTTACTTCCAAATGCAATATGGTAGCGGCGAACAAAAAGAAATTCTACAATGAACCCAAAAGGTCCCCTTTTTCACTTTAATCACGGCGAGTGAATAAAGACTGACGTTTCATCAAATGACGCAGCTCCTGGTGAGGATTGTAAGAGTTGGCTGCAATGCGATTAAAGATCTTTTTCATCGTGGCAATTTGAATTTTTTAATTATCGGTTTTTTCACAGCATGAAATTTGGTTCAAATATAAAAAAAATTCGATAAATGCCTATAAAACCATAATAATACAGTTTAAACAGGGATAAAGAAAAAGTTAGTTGACGACGTTTGAACGTTAACATAGTGTCATTATCAAGTCAAAAAATCGATGAGCTTACAAGGCTCTAAATACTAAAAAAACAATAGGTACTGATTGAAAACGTTTCATAACAATAAATAGCATAAATTTAACGAAACGTTTTGCACCTATGGAGTCCGCTTACACATTCAATTTTCGGTTTGTTTTTCTTTTTTTAAAAAAGTATTTATCAAGCCTTAATTGACATTTCTTGAGAATCTTAAGATGACATTTATTAAGATCGCAACTACCGTGCGCTGTACGTAGTGAGATGTTCGCCAATTGACGAATTCTTGTGTTCAGTCAAGTGTCGTAAAAAGGTGTCGGACCGTGTAACCAACATAATATCATAAAAAGTGAATTTGGTTTCCTGGGTTTTGAGAGGAGTCGTGTGGAATTTTTATCCTTTATAATTCCATATTATCTGATCTATTGTCCTATTTACAGTTAGACTTAACGTAGAGGCTGAAAGTTGACACCATAACTCACTCCAAAGAGCCTTTGTAAATCTTCGAGGAAAACTGATCTCAAGCGGATGAAAAAAAAATCAAATATAGTGGTACGTTTTCATGGCTGGTTGGTTAATAATTGAATATTACGAATTGATCTGTTGATTATGTTTGTTACGATAAGCATGCAAAGCCTAGGGCACCATAAATTGAAAGGTCTTTTCTTTTTTTCCAAAATATAGCAAAGGTTTCAGTCTTTGGAATTAAATCGTAAAGGTAAGAGATTGTGCGCTTCAAGCGATTGTCGTAAGCCTCGTTCATCAGACCGTATTCCTTTCCCCCCAGATCAGTATCGTATCAATGAGCTGGTTTTTTTTTTCTTTTTTTAAACTCTTTCGTTAAGTAAAGTAACCAGTTACGTCTTCTCATCGAAAAAAGGAAAAGAAGTCTTGGTTAAAATTCCGCGAACCTCATTTCAAACTGCCTTGATTCTGCCAAAATTCACGGTTCGACCTTTTAAGAAAGCCTGCTTAAGAACACTGTTTTCACGAAAAAGGCTTCACATGAAAACAATGGAGGAGAAATATTCATTATTTAAAAGTAAAAATGTTTATGTAAGCGTTCAAGTCATATCGGATGTAAAAAGGTTCGTTTTACGTTTCACTGAGGTTTTGGGTTACCTATTTTGTTGTCAAAATCAAGCTCGCTTTTTTTATTTATTGTTGTTGTACGCAATGCCCAAATGTAAATTTGCTTTAAATTGAAGTGTTTGTTCAGGAGGTATTTATAGGCTACGTTTGGTGCCTATCGCAATTTAATCGCAATGATTTAGGAATTTTAACAGTAGCCTAGGTGGAAAGTGACAATTCGCATTACATCAATTGGTAAGGTAAATTGGACACCGTAAAGAGCCAACTCAGTTGATAAAACTAACTTATTTTGTAATCGAGCTGTACCGACACAGGACCACAGATTCTTATCAAACTTAGCCCCTTAATTCGCATTAGAGTTTTAATCCCAGATAGATGGTGAATTAAATCTCCTGAAATTTATTTAATACTTCCAAAGCTTCGGTTATCATAACAAAGCAAAACAAAATAACCAATGTTTTTTTGTCTACACTTTTTTAGATGAAAACATTTTCGGTGATAAATTGAAAAAGCTATGAATACAAAAGCTGTTCTCAACGCCGTCAATGATATAAAGTACTCCGGCCTGTTTTCACAAAATGATTTGACAAACTGAAATCACTTGCTTAACCGACTTCTTCTTTGTGTAAACTCTCTTTTGCAGTACAATTTCTTACTCATTTACGCTTAATGAATGGGAAAATCCAGCTTCAGGTTCCAAAGATGAGAAGTTCAAGGAAAACAAAGCCAACGAAATCTACTGGTAATAAAAACGGAGAAACTGGACGAGCCAATCAAAATCAAGGCCAACATAACAATGTTGCAAGCTCACCATATATGGTAACTGCCACTTTGATAGTCCCTGTCGCATGCGTTGCCATCTTCTACGTCATTAATCAACCTCCACCTATCAAGCTATCAATCAACAGTCATTCAACCTATCCCCTTTCAGCGGAAGTCAGTGGATGGCAGCGCGCGAGCGTCGAGGAGGAAATAAAATTCAACACGAATTTCTGCACGATTGAAAGAAGGAATGCATCAAGTTTGACTTCTGAAGAGTTTGAACAAGTTTACAGGTATAGGAAACCCTTAATTGTGCATTTTAGCAACGGTGCAGCTGATTGGACAGATCCAATGAAATGGACAAAAGCCAGTTTGCGGAAGTTGTATAGTCAATGGTCTATTCTGAGCGGAACATCAGAGGACATAGTACGAAGAGGAGGGAATGGAGACAAAGAGACGTCCTTTGATGAATATTTAGAGATAATGCATAGAAAGAAACACAACGACGAACCCATGTAAGTGTGGAAGCAGTTTTTTTTTTAATTCCTGGGAAGGGTGGGGGGGTGGGGTCGGAGAATGTTTTTGGAGGGGGGATTACTTGGTTTTCAGGGAGATGAGGGGGGATCAGTCATCTGTAACAGACTTTGTATGCTAATGATGGGGATCAAAAGAATACTACAGGGCCTTGAGGAGAGATCAGTTAAACTTTCTCGTGGCACAACCAAAATCCCCACATCCCCCTCCCCCCTCGTCATAAATAATGACCAGTCTCTAATTCAAAAGAGTATGATGTTGACGACTAACTTCTTTATTATTAATAATTGATAATATTAATATTAATAAATATGTGGGGGTAGAGTCTACCTTGGCATAAAATGCTTAATGCTGTGGTAGCAGAGCTAGGTATACATAAGTTAAAGAATTAAAGAGGACGCATCGATTCTCCGTGACTCTGAGTTTCGCGCCTAAGCGCTCGTCAGACAGAACTTAATATTAATATTATATATTAAATTGATATTAATTTAATTATTTTTGTATTGTTCACGTAACGTATTATGTCAAGTAACGCAGTTTTCCTTCATTTTGAGTCCTGGATACATTTAATCGTGGAAACTTAAGAAAGAGTTGTGTAAGAATACGATATTAAAATGTCGTGGCGTTTACACGGCCTCGTGAATCTGGGTGTAGCATGCATCTTATCAAATATGGCCGACCTGCCGACTGATTGTTAGATTTGGTGGATTGATTGAGGAGGACTCTTGTGGGGATGTGGGTTCAATTCTGTTTTTCAAGAATCAGAGGGTCCTTGGGTTTCAGTGCAATCACTGCATATTCTTATTACCATGATTTAGCACTCTTCAACCCATTTTTATCCACTGTTAGGTACGTCTTCGACCGACGTTTTTATAACGATAGTGATCTACCACGGAGTATCACATCAGTATTAGCAGTATACACAGTATTAGCCATCTTATGGTAATTATGGGTAACGGACGTGCTTCATATCGCTGCTTGATTTTCTTTATTTTTTTCACAGTTCTTTATATTATTTCAATTGAAAAACGACATATGGATTGCCTAAACATTTCCTCTTTGGATTATATTTGCAAGAATCATTGTTTGTATCCTAACAAGTGGATTTCTGCTGTATTACTACCTCGTTATTCAACAACTAATCGGCCTCGCTTTGTTTGTCTACGACCTAAAGGTTACAACACATCCAAAGTCAAATACTACGCTAACTCAACTACCACCTTCAACCAAGCTCGTCTTACTTTGGCTGGTGACGTTGCTTCTAACCCTGGTCCTGAAATGGGTTTCTTGTCGTCACAATTTGACTTTGGAGCAATTTCTCAACCGAAGGAAGATTTAATTATTCAAAACGAAGATTCTCAATGTTATTACATTCCAACCATTGTTTCTACGCATCGACGACCATCAAAGAAAATTTACTCAAGAAACATCAACAATATCATCTCTATCACACGCGTTGGCCATCTACCGAGAACCATTGCTTCTAACCCTGGTCCTGAAATGGGTTTCTTATTGTCACAATTTGACTTCGGAGCAATTTCTCAACCGATGGAAGATTTAATTATTCAAAACGAAGATTCTCAATGTTATTACATTCCAACCATTGTTTCTACGCATCGACGACCATCAAAGAAAATTTACTCAAGAAACATCAACAATGTCATCTCTATCACACGCGTTGGCCATCTACCGAGAACCAAATCCACCAGTAATTTTGCTCTCCTCAATGTGCGTTCGATTGTTAAAAAATCAACTCATTTATGCGATTTGGTCATCTCCCACCATTTAGACATCCTGGCCATAACAGAGACTTGGCTTAAAGGAACCGAGGATGACAACCATGTTATTACTGACATCAACAACATTCTTCCGCATTTTAAACTCCACCACATACCAAGAAGGAATCGTAAGGGCGGCGGAGTCGCTTTGTTGATACGAGATGGTTATACCGTACTGCAAAATTCCATCATGAACACAAGCTCATTTGAGTACTTAGATGTGAGCATATCCAACAAAAGTGAGACATTCCGTTTAATTGTTCTCTATCGCCCTCCTCTGTGCAAAAAGAACAACACTAGAAATAGCTTTTTGCAAGAATTCTCATCTTTTCTTGAAGAACTTACATTATCAAGGCAGCCCATTATAATTGCCGGTGATTTTAACTACCATGTTGATGATCTATCAAATCCTGAAGCTGCCTCCTTTCTAAATCTCCTTGAGTCCACTGATCTAATTCAAAATGTATCTGGATCCACTCATCGCCTGGGCCACACATTGGACTTGATATTATCTCGTGAAGAGAATAATGTTATAACGGATGTTCGCATTCTATCAGCCGACAATATTTCAGATCATAATTTGGTTACTTGTAAGGTGAAATGTACAAAACCGAAACCTTCTACACTACATGTTAAACACAGAAACACCAAAAGGCTCGATTTAGCTAGTATGATCAAAGACATCGAAGAATCTAATCTCATTACTAATCCACAGTCTTGTGTAACTGAGCTGACTACACAATATAATACTAATCTCTCGTCTATCTTTGATCAACATGCTCCTGTGAGCGAGAGATGGGTCACTCTGCGACCGCATTCTCCTTGGTATACTGATGAACTTCGTAAGGCTAAACAAGACAAACGTCGTCATGAAAGAAGATATATTTCATCTGGTCTTCAAATTCACCAAGAAATATTTATTGATTCCTGCAAACACTACAATGATCTTCTAACAGCGACAAAGACAAACTATTATCGGACTCTGATCAGCTCCTCTGACCAATCACAACTATTCAAGATGGTATCTCGCCTATTCTTATCGAAGAACATTGCTGCACTCCCTAATAATGATTCATTGGATACATTGACCGAAACGTTCAACGATTTTTTTATCAAAAAAATTGAGAAAATAAGATCGGATTTGGACTCCCATACTGCCCAAGCACCCGACATCAACGTCAATTATCCAGTCACCTCGTCGTTCCAAACTTTTCAACCTGTATCTGCTGATATTGTTCACAAACTTATTGTTCAATCTCCAACTAAGTCTTGTCAACTGGATCCCATTCCAACACGAATTCTAAAGTCAATTCCACACTTGACGCCAATTATAACCAAGATTATCAACGCCTCCATGGCTAACGGAGAATTTCCTGATCAGTTAAAACAATCCCTGGTATGTCCATCTTTAAAGAAGCCTTCATTGGACCCGAACTGTCTCTCAAATTACAGACCGATTGCAAATCTATCTTTTCTCTCAAAAACAATCGAAAGGGTGGTCGCAAATCAAATATACAGATTTATGGCCGAGAACCAGTTATTTCCAGCGATGCAGTCAGCATACCGCAAATACTACTCCACTGAAACTGCTTTAATAAAAGTCTCAAATGACATCCTAAGAGCTGTAGATCAAAAAGAAGAAGTAGTACTTGTTTTGCTAGACCTTTCCGCTGCGTTCGACACGATCGACCATAACATATTACTTGAAAGAATGGAGAAACGTTTCGGATTTAGAGGTATCGCACTAAAATGGTTCAAATCATACCTAGAACATCGTGTTCAGTCAGTGAAGATCAAACACTCCATCTCTAAGCCTCGACATATCTCCTACGGCGTACCCCAGGGATCAGTACTTGGTCCACTACTCTTTCTAATGTATACCTCGCCTACAGAAGACATTGTTGCTGAACATGGCCTAAACTGTATGATATATGCCGATGATTCGCAACTTTACATAAAGATAAACTCCTCTGACAGAATGCTAGGCATGGAAAGATTGAAATCATGTGTTAATGCAATCATGGAGTGGGCCAAGAAAAACAGATTGCAGTGCAACCCTTCAAAAACAGAAATCATTCATTTCCTCTCACGCTTCTCAAAAAATCCTCCTTTCTGTAATATCAATATTGGAGATGATATCATTAATTTATCTAATACTGTCCGAGACCTAGGCGTCATGCTTGATTCTGTGATGAACTTACGCTCGCATATAAATTCCATCTGTAAATCGTCGTCTCTAGCAATCAGAAATATTGGTCGCGTTCGTAAATACCTCTCGACGCAGCAAAATGAAAGATTGATACACGCCTTTATCTCATCGAGACTTGATTATTGTAATAGCCTATTGTACGGTCTACCGATTTGTGACATCGAAAAATTCCAACGGATCCAAAACACAGCTGCCCGCTTGTTAGTCGGTGCCAAATCAAGAGACAGTATAACACCTATACTTAGGAAACTTCATTGGCTCCCGGTCACAAAACGAATTCAATTCAAGATACTGTTGATAACATACAAAGCACTAAATGACATGGCTCCAACCTATCTTGTTGAACTTCTTAGTCGATATATTCCAGCACGAAACCTCCGTTCATCAAATATGAATCTACTTGAGGTCCCAACAATTCGAACTAAAACGTATGGGCAAAGAGCATTCTCCTACGCAGCACCGTATTTGTGGAACCAACTACCTGAATGCATAAAAAACGCCGAATCTGTTGACTCCTTTAAACGCTTATTGAAAACTTATCTTTTCAAAAATTAAGCCACCAGATTATTTGATATCGTACGTTGTCAAACATATGCATAACACGTAATAATTCATTAGTTTAGATAGAGTAGCGAATTGCATGTATAGGATTTTGTTTTTTATCGATTTTAATTTATGTTAATTATGTACCGAAAGGTAATCAGAAAAACTTTTAACGTTTTTGACGAAAGGAAGCGAAGAATAGGGTTTCCAGGAACGAAATTGTTGAGTTCAATTTTAATGCGCTTTTTTTATATAAGAACTTGCTGTGGTGGGGCGAATCTGTGATAGGCGAAACCTCTGACTACCCCACAAAGTGTAGCTTTTGTTCTCTCCCCTCAGTCCTCCTTGTGCACTATTCATATTTGTGTCATCCCTCCCCTGCTACTGAAAATAAAATACTGAAAGATATACTGCCGTGCCATAGTGTCCCTTGAAGAAAATGCTTTAAAAATGTA